CTTTCCCGAGGCGGGTGTGCGGAACGCGACTCGCCGGTTTGGGCTGTGGCTGTCAATTAAAAATGGACCTCAGCTCTGATTCATCAGGGAAGCATCTAGGTGCTTATCCTTCACGCAGGTGCTCGGACGTGCGAGATAGTGATTGTCTCGCCGTGGCCCAAAGTGTGGAAACAGGTGTCCGTCTTCGGTCAGTAGGAGACGGTTAAATATGTGACAGCATGCCGTGCCAGGGAGCACTGTGGTGCGGTCAGTTCCGCTGGGGCCGGCGGATGATGCTGATGTGGGATCATCCCCGATTTTAATTGTAGAATGCGGCGTGTCGGGTGGGCTATTTGTGTAGAAAGAGGTGTGTGTGCATATGTGGGCATGGGCATCTGGATAAAATGTCTGGAAGAGCATACAAGACACTGGTGACCGACCGACCACAGGCGCTGCTGGCGAGGGAGCCTGTTTGTACAATGTGTATGAAAATTTTACCAGGTGCTTATATGCCTTGTCATTTCTCCACCCACTTCCAGAACGACAACAAAGCCAGCTTGTCATGGTTCAGGTTTATTTCGGAAGACTTGTTTTTTGTAAACAAAACATTATGTTTATTTCCTGCTGTGTCATGCATTGGCAGATACAAAATCTTTTTCAAGGAGTAGTCCAGCATTGTGGAAAATGGGATAACCATGAAGATACAAATTTACGTAATTTCCATTTAAGAAAAATATAAATGCCCTACAGCAGGGGAATGATTTGGACGATTATGGTATGTCCATTTACTTATTAATTGAAATTGTTTATTAGATGCTTGCAGGTAAGAGGGAGCAGAATGTAATATAATGCAGTCATTAGGAGTGATGGTTATGAAGATGAGCTAACAGAAGAATGTTTAAGTGTAGGGTTGAACGGAGAAAAACAGGATACAAATGACGCATGTGACATGATCACAATTCTGGGAGGATAAAAACCCAGGAAAGACACACCAGCTGGTGACAGTGGATGCCTTAGGGTATTAGAGATACCTCCCTTTTTCAGAATTTTAGTATTGTGACTACAGTATGTGTGTTATAAGCACTTTTTATTAAAGGTGTCTAAAGTGAATATTTTCATAGCTCCTTAATTATTATTTCCCCAGTAATTTTATTTTTATTTATTTATTTTTTTAAAGATTTTATTTATTTTTCTGACAGAGAGATATAGCGAGAGAGGGAACACAAGCAGGGCCAGTGGGAGAGGGAGAAGCAGGCTTCCCGCGGAGCAGGGAGCCCGATGTGGGGCACGATCCCAGGACTCTGGGATCATGACCCCAGCCGAAGGCAGACGCTTAATGACTGAGCCACCCAGGCGCCCCTCCCCAGTAATTTTAGTAAGAGGAAATTGATTAATATAGATGTGCTTTGTTTAAAGTCCTGTGGAAGAAACCTGCTTTTACCCTTTTCACTTAAAGAGAGAACTGTAAATTTCCATTATATGTATTTTAATTCTGATCATCTTTACCATAGGGCACCCCACCTATTAGGTAGGTTTTATTATTCCTATTTTATAGATGATAAATTTGAGGCTAATAAAATAACTCAGTGTTAATGAGTGCCTGCCAGGCTTCTGGACATTTCTGTTTCTGAATATCTCTTGTACTATCAAGCCTACCTCTGTCTATATACCTCTGATGCAGTTTGCTGTTTACAAGAGAAAAAATTTCTTTTAACATTAATTCAAATAATACCTTTTAATGTTTTCTCGTAGTCTTCATTTTTTTCAATAATAATTGCATAATTATTCCATCATATGGATAATATCATAGTCCCTGTAATCACTTTTCTGTTCCTGGGCATTTCGATTACTTTCAGTTTTTATACTTAAAAGGAATATTGCTGTATACTTTTGTTCTATTTTCAATATCCAAGACTATGCTAAAAACATAAAAATCAGGAAAATTTATATGCATCAGGAAACATTTGCTTTTCAGTTCTTTTGAAGAGACTAGCTTATTAAATTATAGGGGATATTATTATGGCTTAAAAGTGTGATATAATCTGATCACAGTAAGGACCTTAAATATATGATGCCATAGAGACTATTGGCTAATCCTGAATTAAATATAATCACTTAGATGTGCTTGATTTTTAAAATGAAGATAAATATCTTTTCCATCTGTGTTGTATGTTATGTCAAACAAGTATGAAGTATCTGCAAACTTTCATTTCTCCAGTGTGAGCTAGATTTTTTTTTTTTTTTGCGTCAATATTCACATTTAAAGAATGTTTTGAATTAAAAAAAAAAGTTCGACCTGCTATAATTAACATGGCACGTGGCACTTATTTTTTCAGGCATGTGGGCACATTCAATGACAGTACAGGATTATCAGGATCTTATAGATCGAGGATGGCGAAGGTAAAGCTCTTTAATACAAAGACACTTCTCTTGTTACTGAGGTTCTTCTTATAATTGCAAAATATTGTTTGCCTTTAAAATGTTTTCCTGTTTTTGGAAAGAGGTTTAAGAAATTTTTTTATTGTATTTCTTTGTGTAGTGATTCTTTTCTCTCTCCTTTTAAAGATTGTTTATTAGGAGAACTTCAAATACACATAAATGTAGAGAGTATGGTATAATGAACCTCATGTACCTATCCTCAGGCTAGGTACATGTTAACACTTGTTAACATTTTGCCAATCTTGTTGCATCAGTTCTCCTTGCTCCCTGCAATGGAGTGAATGTGCGTGTATCATTGTCACTCCCTTCCCCAATTTTACGGTATTTGGAGGTGGGCCTTTGGGAGGTGATTAGGTCAGAGGGTGGAGTCCTCACAAATGGGATTGGTGCCCTTGTAAAAGAGACCCCCGAGGGCTCCCTTGCCCCTTCTGCCATGTGAGGTTACAACAAAAATATGAACCAGGAAGCTTATCTTTACCAGACATAGAATATGCCAGCACCTTGGTGTTAGACTTCCCAACCTCCAGAACTATGAGGAATACATTTGTGTTGTTTATAAGCCACTCAGTCTGTGACATATTGTTACATCAGCTGAACAAACTAAGATGTTCCCTCCTCCCCCACAAAATAATTTAAAGCAATTTCAGGTATCCTCTTAGTAGACCTGTAATAAATATATGTTTCTAAGACAGGATTCTTTTTTCCTTTTTAACGTATCTACGATACCATTATCATCTTTTACACAATAATTCTTTGATGTCATCTGTTACTTAGTTTGATTAGATTTTTTGCTTGTCTCAGAAATGTCCTTTTTTTTTTTTATAGTTGGTTTATTTGAGTCAGGATTCCATTAAGGTCCACACTTTGCCTTTGATGGCTAAGTTTTTTTGGTAATTACCTTTTTATAGATGATTTTAGAATGTATAAAGTTCCTTATGTAAATATAAACAGTGCTAAATGTTCTGTGCCAATACTCCCCAAAAGACATGGGATTGAGCACAGCAAATAAAACTTCACACCTTTTCTTAAACTTAATAATGAGACCCAAAAGGTAGATCTAGGTCGGATGTTGAAGGATTTTGTATGCCATGATGAACTTCTTTTTTAAAAGGTGGAGGGGAGCCATTGAAAGCTTTTATGTCAGAATTGTGATGGAATTTGTGTTTTGGAAATGATCATTCAGATGGCAGAGAGGTATTTGAGGGGGTGATTGCAAAGGCAGGAAGACTCGTTACAGAGATCCCTGCAGGGTCCGGTTGTGACTTGATCATCTCATGACAATGCTGTCATCATCAGTGGCTGTAGGTTAGAAGATAGATGGGAGGGGACAGACGTAAGGGGTACATTTTAGAAGTAGAAAGCTTGCTGATTGGATATAGAGGTGCTTTAGAGGGAGGAATCTGAGATGACTCCCAGGTTTCTGACTCAGGAACCGAGCTCATGTACGTTTACTTGGGCAGCCATAACAAAATACCACCGACTGGGTATCTTAAACAACAGGACTCTATATTCTTGCAGTACTGGAAGCTGAAATTTCCAAAATCCTGGTGTCTGCAGCTTTATTTTTTTCTGAAGGCCCTTCCTTGGCTTGTACATTGCTGTTGTCTTCTTGCTGTGGCCTCACGTGGTCCTTTCTCTTTGTATATATATCCCTAGTCCCTAGTGTCTCTTTGTATTTCCAGTTTCCTTTTCTTCTTCTTCTTTTTTTTTTTTAAAGATTTTATTTATTTATTTGAGAGACTACAAGGGGGGGTACGGAGAGGCAGAGGGAGAGGGACAAGCAGACTCCCCACCAAGGAGGGAGCCCGATATGGGGCTCAATCCCAGGACCCCAGGATCATGACCTGAGCTGAAGGCAGATGCTTAACCGACTGAGCCACGCAGGTGCCCCCAGTTTCCTTTTCTTATATGCACAGCATTCAGATTGCGTTAGGGCTCATCTTAACTGCCATTTTAACTTGGTCACCTCTTTAAAGGCCTTGTCTCTAAATACAGTTCCATTCTGAGGTACTGGGGGTTAGGGCTTCAAAATACGAATTTTGAGGGGACACGATTCAATCCATAATGTCATGGCTCTGCCACTAACTGAGATCCAGAAAGCACTGAAAGCATCAGGTTAATTTTGGGCTACCTTGTGCTACTACACGTGGAGCCCTCACCTGTGGATTTCGTAGGCTGGGGCTCCCATCAGTGTCACCTCATCCTGAGGGATTTCCTCTGATTGCCTTTATGGTATTGAGGATTGGTGGTGGGCTGAGGCATGGAAGGACTGCAGGTGCTGCTGAGGGGGTGATTGAGGTGAAGAGGTTTGGAGTACATATATCAGGGTTTAGGAAAGAAAAGGCTGGACTCTGTCCTTGGTATGTCTATGTTGCAAGATTATTTAGGTTATGAAGAGTAACTAAATGTTTTTATGTTATTGGTTAGATTTTTACTCTAATTAATTTTGTACTCCTGTACTAGTCTACTTTAGTACATGTGAGAAATGTGTAAGACATTAACAAAACTACTTTTTAATTTTAGAAGCGGGAAATATGTGTATAAGCCTGTCATGAATCAAACATGTTGTCCTCAGTACACGATAAGGTAAGAAAGAGGGTGTATATATAAATTTGAAGAGTATGTATAATTCTTCAGTGACATCTTGCTTTTTTTTACATGTTAATTCTCATTCTAGCTAGACTCTTTATAAAGAAGAACAATTGAATTATATCTTTTCTACAAACTGATGCTACATTTATACGTCATCAGTAGCTTTTAATCATACTATTTAATGGTTTGGGTGTAAATAGGATATGAAAAAGTATACTGTTTAGCAGTCTAGTCAATGATATCATGACATATTGTGAGAATATTAGAAAATACTCAAATTACTTTTAGATATCGAATGTTTTATAGAATTTAGCTTGGGGATTTCCACATTCTAGTGTATTGCTGGACACAGTACTCACATTGAAACAGCACTATAGGATCTGTAGAAAGAGGAGGGGGAGGGCTGACATTTAATCTGCCACATATATTTAGAGTCCAGTTTTCTTCATTGGAAAACTTAAACTAAAAAGTCTATTTTCCTACAAAGTGTTTGCTTAACCAGCAAACCCCAATATAACATGGAAGGATTTTCCCTTCTCAGATTATAAAGATCCTCCTCTTCTCCCTTGTCCTCCTTGCCTTCCTCTTCTGGTAGAATCTAGGGAAAGTATGTTGCCATTATTAAGCATTTGTCTACAGTTTCAATATGAATATATTCTCTAGATAAAAAAGCAAACACAGTTGTATCCATCATGTTTTGGCTGGTCCTCACACCTCTTTCTCTTAGTTGCTCTTAATTTGTTTTGGGATTGAAGACTTTTGACAATCTGATGAAAAGTTACAGACCCTTTCTGCAGCCAAACAAAAGGGAGGGGGCATATAGGCAAAAATATGTAACATTTGCATACTAATTTTAGGATGATCTTGGGCTCCCAACGGGCTCTCACAGTTCCACTGATTCCTGGTTAAGAATCCTTTTCCTTTATCTAACGTCATAGGACTGGAGCAATAAAGAGAAAAGATGGGTGTCTGGTTTACTGAAATCATCTTACTAAGACAGCTATCCTGTCCTCTTGCAGTTTCAGTGGTTATGAAGCAGTGACATCCTCAAAGGCAGAAGTCCTTTTCCTTCAAGTAACAGTTTGTTATTGGATTATGGCCCAGATTCTGTTTAAATAAGTCTGGAGCTGATTTGCTAGAACCCTGAGAATTTCTAATCAGAAAAGGTTTAAAAAAAAAAAAAGGTCAATTTCAGTGGGTTAAAGAAGAAGACCAAGCCTCTATAATTTATTGGGTGCCTCTCAATGCAAAGCTCTGTTCCAGGTATATTGCTTTTATGAAAAGGGATTCGATTAACATTGCAAAACAAAATAATTATAAAATGTTAATTTTTTTTTTTTTGCATGAAATCAAACATTTCCTGAATTGTTATTCTTTACACAACTTCATTACATGTATTGATATTACAGAGTCATTTTGCATATTTACTGTTCTGGGTTTTTTTACTTTGTTTACTACAGTAGTTATAATGAGACCTAATGTGAAGTCAAGGCGATTATAACCTACAACGTAGCTTGTTAGATGTCAGGGGCTGCCCAGTATGTGAGTATAAATGAGGATGAGCTTCCTTGGCTATGATTTTTTTTGTTTTTTAGTTTTTATTTTTATATAGAATTATATATGCTAGTAATTTAAAAATCAAACAATTCCATAAAGCTTACTTTGCAAAATTGCAGTCCCCTGAACCTCCCTATTTCTTTTTCCCAGTGCAGTCACTCTCAAATTTTTTAACTGATTTTTTTTTTTGTTTATTCTTCTTTCTACCTTTAAGTGACATGCTTATATAATTACAGAAACCTTATCTCATTATCTTTGGGTTTTTCTTATATCTCTGGGTTTCTCTCTTTAAAAGGTAAGGATTCAACTTTATTTTTTCTCATTATCTCTGAATTTCTCTCTTTGAAAGATAAGGATTTAACTTTATTTCATCCCTGTTGCCCTGTCACATTCAAGCTCCTTTTTGTCCTCATTGCCAACTTCCCAGCTCAGAAGTATCGTAATATTGGATGATGTAGTCACTGTATCATGACCTATAAATATGCTATGTGGTCGAGCCATGCAGTGTACTACTGATTACATTTTCTTTCCTTCACAAGTTTTTGCTTTCCATGGAGTTGATAATTGTCTTTTTTGTTTGCATAGTCTTCTGTGTGCCCATCACCAGTCAATTTTAGAAATCCTCCCACAGTTGTGTAAATTTCCTCTTGGTATTTTTAGATGCTTCAGGTGCTCTATCACTTGTGTCCTCTTGATGAATATCTCTGTGTTGTCTTCTGACCTACTGTGATCTGGACAGGTTGTCTTTCCAACTGATGCATCACTGTCACCCTGGGATCTCTTTTTACTGCCATCTTGGGGATTCTCTTTGGGTCTCATGTTTTCTGTCTCCTCTGACCTCTGAGATTATTTCCTCATTTTAGTGTAGCTCATCTTCTAATAGCTTTCTTGAGAAAAAGTTTATTTTTTTGAAGTGCTTTTTTTAGACTTCATATGTTTGAAAAAAAAATTTTTTTAAGAGAGAAAGAGATAGTGTGCGAGGGGGGATGGGGGCAGAGGGAGAGGGAGAGAGAGAATCCCAAGCAGGCTCCATGCTCAGCATAGAGCCTGACTTGGGGCTCCATTTCCACGACCCTGAGATCATGACCTGAGCCTAAACCAAGAGTCAGTCAGACGCTCATCCAGCTGAGCCACCCAGGTGCCCCTGTTTCAAAATGTTTTAATTCACCACTCAGATATCTAGTTTGGCTGGGCTATAGAAGTGTAGATTGGAAATAATTTTGCTTTAGAATTTTGAAGGCTTTGCTTCTGATTCTTGTTCCTTTGTCCAAAATGTTCTTTCCTTTTGAAAGGTTTTTTGTCCCCAGTGTTCTGATATTTCACGTCTGGTGGTGTGTCTTTCTGCATCCATTGCATACAGACTTAAGGGGCTCTTCTTACCTGGGGCCTCCTCCCATCATATCCTTCACTTCACAGAAATTTTTTTTATTATTTTGTTGATCTTCTTCCCCCCATTTTTTTCTTCTATTCTTTTATAATGTCTTCATTCAGATGTTGAACTTTTAGAGTGATCCTCTAATTTTTTTTTCTCTTGTTTTCCATCCCTTTTGCAATATCTTTTGGGAAATTTCCTCAACTTAATTTTCTGAGTCTTCTGTTTAATTGTTTATTTCTTCTGTTATATTTTTACTTCTGAGAGATTTTTGGTTTTGGACTCTCTCTCTCTTTTTTTTGTAACCTCCCATTATTGTGTGGCTGTAATAGCTAAAGAGAAATAAGAGCGTGTTCTTCTTAGGATATTTGTATTTTTAGGCTCTCCAGTGTCTTTGTAGAGGTTCTCCTTGAGTGTCTGGTGATTCTGACTTTCCAGGGGGGAGTCTGGTCACATTCTGGAGAGAAAGTGCCCATGTTTGTGGCTGGGTTGGGAAATGGGTTGGAGGTTTCCACATTCAGTATGTAGACTTTCATTTAAGCTTCCTGTTTCTAGTACATTTTCATTGCTTTCCACTGTGCCTACATCCTCATGTAGGAGGCCCTATTTTTTACTCTTTCCTAAATGTGCAGCTTTCTCCTGGGTTGTGTAGGGAGTCCTGTGTGGAGTGGTGGAGGCATCAGACATCTAACTGCTTCCAAAACAGACTTTCAAGAGATCTTTCTATTTTTAGAATCACCTTCACTCTTATCTCCTGAGGTATCAGGTATCAACCAATCCCTAAAATTTGTAGGGTTAATGTAAAGAAAATTGGTTATCATTCTGGCTTTTCCCACTGTTGGTTTAGGATTTAAAATTCTTTGGTCTGCTAAGTCAGTTACCACTTGTGCATGTTCTGCCCAGCTTCCAGCATTTCTCCTCTTCTATTTTTTTTTTCCAGTGATTTATGCCTTTTTCTTTTTTCTAATTCCTTAATGTAGTTTTAGTGAGATTTGGGGTGGGACTAGAGGCTACATCAAGCCCTATCTTTACCCAAAAATCCCGGGCATGAGTTTTGCCTTTCTGTACTAGACACTGCCCAGAACTCATTTTATTTCTTCTAGTTTGAGTTCACTTTCTAAATATTTATTTTGCTTTCCTAGGTGCCGACCTTTACAGTTTCAGCCATCAAAATCTCACAAGAAGGTTTTGAAAAAAATGTTGAAATTTCTGGCTAAAGGGGAAATTTCCAAAGGAAATTGTGAGGGTAAGATGAGTTGGGAGTGTAAAAACTCTTTACATCGATGTAGATTTCCAAGGTTGTCATTTTCGGTTATTAAGTAGGGGAATGGGTCCATACTGCAGTCAGGTAGTACTGTTCTTCTGATGGTGGGGATTGCTGTTAGTGTTGCTGTTACTATTACCACTGGCCCAAAAGTCAAGGATAAGGGGAATGCCTGTCAGGGAAAGTCTAGCCTCGGAAGAAGATGGAGGACAGTTTTAAAGATATTGTGATGTCTTGGGGTTTATTGGAACTTTAGTTTTCATAGTACTTTGACAACTCTTATCTTACTTGATCCTCATAGTACCTTGTGAAGTAAATGGGAAGTGGTATTACATTTGAGAAACAGATGCTTAGGTGCACCTTACACAATATTGCATAATCACTTTGAATGATGAGTAAAGCTCAGGTTTTCTGTGTTCGAGGAAGCCCTTCAGTAAATCTTATTGCCCGGAATTTTCTTATTTGTGTGATAAATTTTGAATTGAGAGTCAATTTCCTACAAGATAATTAGAAATATTTAATGAACTTTGGTTACAGATACTTTGCTTTTTCAGTTTTTTCAGTGTCTTTTCTTTTCCTTTTAAAAGTTTTCATATAGGCAGTGCCTAATACATGAGCCTAATAATTGGGAATGCTACCTATCCTTAGAGCTCTTTCTCACTTCTGCCATAGAAAATACCTAATCCTGGAAGCCTTCCATCCCAGTTTTAACTTGTTAATATATTCCCCAAGTGTGTTTTCATTGCCCACAATGTACCAGTCCCTGTTTTAAGCACTGGTGATACAGTGACCAGCAGGACAGGTAAGTTCTTCGCCTTCATGCACTCTCCTTAACAGACCAAGATTCAGGACAACCTGGAGCAGACTTGGCAGAGCTATGGGCAACAAAGAGGCGGGAAGGCTCAGGGGTGTAGAGGTTCAGGGGCAATTGGGCATTGGAAATATCAGAATTTTGATGCAGCTCTGATTAGTACTGTCTGTACATAATCTGAAAAACTAAGTAAATTTTGTTAGTCAAAAATTTTTTTCAGTGGCTGGGAATCATGTTCTGAGTTTCAAAAATTAACATTCAGATAAGCTTTAAGGTGCCTTCCATTTATAAATTGATGGTTACCTGTCTTTACACATGGCTTTTACATTTGGTTCTCTATTTGACTTGTTTTAGGCTTCTAAATTATTTTTGCAACTGAATTCCTAAGGGTGATGTAGAGTGGAAGGGTAGACAGCTATAATAAAAACACCAAACTGCAATGACTAAACAATGATAGAAGTCTTTCTTTCCTCATATAACAGTCCAGCGTGGGTGTTCCATGTTAGCCTGCAGCTCTGTTCCCCACCCCCCCACCCCATCCATTCTGGGACTCCTTTCAACGTGTGATTTCCAGTCACTCTGGTTTTCACTAATCCAGCCAGTGGGTAGGGTAAAGGGTCGAAGGTCAGGGTCACAAAATTCCTTTGAAAACAAGCGAGGCCAAATTGGGCATATCAGTTTGGTTATGTTCCATTGGTGGGAGCTTGGTCACAACTTGCAGAGGGACTGGGGGTGCATACCTTTGCTTGGGTGCCACAGTCTTAACTACGGCTCTGTTACTTTGGAAGCCAGGAGAATGGATTTTATGCATACACAGTAGTCTCTTCCACATGGGAAAAAGGGGGCATTGTTTTTTTTCCTATGTGTATCTTAACTGTGTCAGATGGCCTAGCTGATGGACTTTGACTTCTGATTTGTAGATGAGCCCATGGAGCCCACCATGGAGGAGACTGTTGCGGGTGACTTTGCGTTAATAAATAAATTGGATATACAGTGTGACCTTAAAACACTCAGTGATGACCTCAAAGAGAGCTTTGAGAGTGAAGAAAAGAAGAAAGGAAAAAGCCCAAAGAAAGAAGAATCTAAGGAATTAATTCAGTCACAACATATAGAGGAGAAGTTGGGCTCTGGTGAGCCATCCCATCCAATTAAAATGCACATGGCTCCTAAGCCAGGTAAGGCAAGTTTGCTCTGTGGCCATTTTAAAATCCTAGTGATTTTCTTTGTGCTTGAGATTTTGTAGCCCCTGGGTTCTCCCATCAGCTAAAAACACGACTTACGTGAAATCTGCAAAATAGATCCATATTTTGTATAATTTATTATTACCTGGATTTAGAATGGACAAATCATATCTTTAAAAACTGCTATGTTTAAAAATCCAGAAATTAAATTAGTTTTATTATCCCCAAATACAGATATTTTAAAAGAGTTCCATTTCTTCTTACTACCTTAGGACCCTGGAGGTTTGAGAATCAAATTTTTATCTGGAAAAGATGTGCTGCTAAACATTTTTGTTTTTTGTGTGTAGTGAGACAAAGTAAATTTTAGGTATTATGTTCAAGATACAGACATTAAAGTTCTCTAGTTTATCATTAGATTTCTTTATGTAATCATAATGAATTTTAGTTTAAAAATTTCCAAATTTTGATATTTAACTTCACCTTTAATAAGGTCAAAAAAATTTTTTCTATATTTTCACTTGTAAAAGAATTAGGTTATAAAATGTATACAGAATTGGGACACCTGGGTGGCTCAGTTGGTTAAGTGTCCAACTCTTCATTTCGGCTCAGGTCATTATCTCCTAATCCTGGGATCAAGCCCCATGTCTGGCTCTGGGCTCAGCACAGAGTCTGCTGGAGATTCTTTCTATCCCTCTGTCCCTCCCCCTGCTCGCGTGCTCACTCTCTCTCACATAAAGAAATCTTTAAAAAAAAAAAAGTATCCAACATTAAATGGGTTTATTATATATACATATATATGTGCATGCATGTGTTTGTATGACTTTTTTAAAAAAATTACTTCATTAAATGTCAGTTTGGATGGTTATGCTTCAGTTCCTGAATTTGTTCTTATATTTATTTATATAGAATGATCCAAAGGAGACATTTTTATTACTATTGTAGTTTTTCTTATCTAAATCATGTTAACATACAGAAAACTGTGCATTTGCGTTTTCCTTGAATAGTTTTTCTTACGAAGGCTTTCATGGCGTTTCAGGGGTTGCCAACTGAGATTTCATCCTAATTAGTAAGAATAGTCTAATGAAATGTTCTGAATGATTTAGATAATTTCTTTCAACTCTTACTCTCTTGGGTGATAGGGTCAGTTCTTTTATTATTTTGTTTATTGTAAATATTACTTAGAGTTTATTAAATTTTAAAAACCTTCATTTTGGAAACATAGACCATTATAATGAACTTCCACATACCCTGCTCTTATGTGACACTGTTACTGACTCATGATGGGCACTCTTGTGTCATCGATACTCATCATCCAGTTGTCCCCGCCCCCGCAGTACTATATTGAAGCAAATTCCAAACATTATATCATCCCATATATCAGAATGGTTCTCTAAAAGATACGAACTTGTGCCTACGTAGCTCAGTCAGTTAAGCATCCCATTCAGGATTTCAGCTCAGGTCATGATCTCATGGGTCATGAAATTAAGACCCGACTTGGGCTCCATGTGCAGTGGGGAGTCTGCTTGAGAGTCTCTTCCTCTGCCCCTCTCTCCACTCAAGTCTGCGAATACTTTCTCTTGCTCTCTAAAGTAAATACATCTTTAAAAAAAAATAAAAGAACTTTCAAATACATATTCATACTCCCACCATTACACCTAAGTAAGATTCCTTAATGTTACTGAATAGTCCATGTTTAAGTTTCCAATTTTGTTTGCATCAGGATACAAATACAGCCACATATTGTAGTTGGTTGACACAATTAGAAAACTCTCTGTAGATCTGTAGGTTCCTTCCATCACTCCCACTTTTTTATTTGCACTTTGTTTGTTGAAGAAACTAGGTTGGTTGTTCTGGGTTATTTAATTACATCTGCAGTGCAGTTTAACATATTCCTGTACCTGCCTATAAACTGATCGTTGGATCTAGAGATTCAAGATTAAATCAGACCAGATTCAAGATTAAATTGTATTTTGTTTTTTGGTGTTTCTAGTTTGTTTGCTTTTTTGGGGAGAGAGAGAAGTCTTAATCAGATTTGAGTTCAAATTATTTATTTGAGGATAGGTGAGGTTACTTCATGGGTGGTGGGATATTCTTTCAGGAGACACATAATATCTGGGTACCTCTCTTTTTTAATGCTAATAGCCATGGATCAATGCTCAGTGCCTAAATCCATTGATCCATTAGATATTCTAAGTCTGTCATTCATTTTTCATTTACTAGCTGGATACTTCCATAAACAGAACCTTCATCTCATCTGTTTGTTTCCCATAGAACTCATAGCAAAGGCAAGAGGAATTCTTGATTATTGCATTTTATTTTCCATCCTACAAAATAATTCTTCTAACAATGACTAGTTAATTTCTTCCTTCCTTTCCTTTCCTTTCCTTTCTTTTGTCTTTCTTTCCTTCCTTCCTTCCTTCCTTCCATCCATCCATCCATCCATCCATCATTGTGAACTCATGGGTCTAAACACATTGGCTATGTTTTAATTCTCTGTCCTGTGGGAATTTCTCTAAGTTGGCTTCTAGGGTTTTTTTTAGGATAAAATGGTAGTACTCTTGGCAGCTTCCTATGACATGATGCTCCTAGATCATCTTGTACAGCCATTTCTTTTTTTTTTTTTAAATGAGTTTTATTTATTTTTTTTTTTAAGATTTTATTTATTTATTTTTTAGAGAGCGAGTGAGAGAGAAACAGCACGAGAGGGGAGAGGGTCAGAGGGAGAAGCAGGCTCCCCGCTGAGCCAGGAGCCCGATGTGGGATTCGATCCCAGGACCCTGGGATCATGACCTGAGCCGAAGGCAGACGCTTAACCATCTGAGCCACCCAGGCGCCCTTGTACAGCCATTTCTCCAAGGAGTCCTGGTTTCTTTTAGTGGAAAATGGTATTTGGAGATCATCAACTAGACTAGATGTGACCATTATGGCTACTGGCTTGGTCATTGTTTTCTAGGCTTTTTCAATGAACAGACGCAAGGGGTCATGAGAGGTCATGTTGATACTTACAGTTCAAATTCAGGACTATCATATTTTTACATGTTTGTTTGACATTTGGATCTTCTTTCTTCCACACTGAGAAACCTGGTTCTCAAGGACACAGAGAGTGGTAGAATTAGAATTAGAATATTGCAGTTACCCACTTGCTTTACCCTACTGTACACAACAGTTTAGAATAACAGTACCAACCTTATCTTCAGCAGTGTGATTACTGAAACCATAAAAAAAAGTTTGCAGTTATTTTCCCCTTATGATATTTCTCACTAGAAATGTAAGACAATTTTAAAATGTAGGAATCTTTGGATTTTCTCTGGAAGCATTCATTTCCTTTTTATTTTAAAAATGTTAAAAGTATATTTCCTGAAACTTAATTAGAAATTATGCAGGTCTGTTGAACTCTATTCAAAACTCTTGGGACTAATCTAGGATCCTTGAGTGGTTTGAACCTCTGTGGGTGCAGGGTTGGTATGGTATACTGATTTTATATTGATCTGCTCCCATTCTTTTGAAGGATCTTATTGATCTGGGGAGATCTTTATCCCCTAAGTAAGCTGAAATCCTAATTTGCTGTCTATTTCAGTTGATAATGTGATAGTACATATGTGGAGAGTAAAGCAAGCACGATAAGGATTGCTTAGTCCAATGAATTAATTAGTGTAAAGCTGGTCTTTCATAAAAATGTTGAAACTTGTTTCTCAGTTCACTATAGTTTTATAATTTGTTCATAGTTTTAAAACTTTGGTAGGGAATGTAGTTTTGAGTAACTTTTAGAAAATGCAGAATTTTTTTTTTTTTTTTTTTGCCTTATTACCATTTATGGAGGACCTGTATAGGTAAAACATTGTAGGGATTGGTGGTGCATATAATAGCTAATGATAATAGATAACCCTAATTAAATAGTAGGTATTGTTTTGTTTTGGTTTTTTTTTGAAGATTTTATTTATTTGAGAGAGAGAGAGAGGGAGAAAGAGGGCATGCATGAGTAGGGAGGAGGGGCAGAAGGAGAAGCAGAGTCCCCGCTGAACGGGGGGAGCCAACGCAGGGTTCAATCCCAGGACTCTGGGATCGTGCCTGAGCCAAAGGCAGATGCTTAACCGACTGAGCCACCCAGGTGCCCAACAGTGGGTATTGTTTTATGAGCTACATACGTGTTAACTCATTTAATCCTCATAGAGCTCCATAGGTAGTACTGGTTATTATCTTTTTTGTATAGACAAGGAAACTTGCCCAAGATCATCTAGCCAGTGACAGAGATGACCTCAGGCAGCCCATGTCAGAGTGTGTGCTCTTAACCAAATGCTCTTGTGCCTCTCAGAGCAAATTTGAGGAGACAGATTCCCAGGACAAAGAAAATTCATTCTTTAAGGCAATAGAGTAATGGTTAATTATAGAATCAGTCCTTTGTTGCCTGGTTATTAGACTTATTCAAAGTCTGTTTTTATACCTAAAGTTTGTTTTTAATTGGAAAAAATATTAGTGAAGTTGTAATATGATTTTACTATTTGTGAACTCACTATTTTCTCATCAGATTTGTTTGGTTTTTTTTAATAAGATTATTACTTGTTTGAGAGAGCGAGCGTGCATCATCAGGGGCAGAGGGAGAGGGAGTATCCCAAGCAGACTCCGTGCTAAGCATGGAGCCTGACCCGGGACTCCATCTCATGACTCTGAGATCCTGACCTGAGCCAAAATCGAGAGCCAGACGCTCAACCAGCTGAGCCACCTGGGCGCCCTACAACAGATTCATCTCTTTTGACCAGCTTTTGGTCTCTGGCAAGTCCCTTAACACCGTGGGTCTTGATTTTCTTTTCTATAAAATTGAACTTGCTAGTCTTGTAAAACTTCTTATTGCTGACTTTTATATGATTTGTAAATACTGTTTTAGAATCTTAAAATAGCATTTTTATTTTGTTAATGACTTTAAAAAAATTACAAAGGTATGTTTATTGTTAGAGAATTTGGAGAAAAGAGAACACTGCAAGAAAAAAAAAGCAAAAAAAGTCCTTTCTCTACTTCTAAACCCATGTAAAATGACTGTCATGTTTCTTTCCAGGCTTTTTTCTAAATATTTTTCATGTGTCTATTTATATATAAGTGGAATTATTTTTTAACCTTGTGTAATGACAAATCCCTGAAAATTTCTAAGCATTTCTAATGACTGATATTCTGTCGCTTAGCTGTTTTAAAAATTGTATAATTATTCTGTTATTGGGCATTTAAATTATTTTGAAGTTTTCATTTGTGTTCATTATTTGCCTCTCTTTTTTTTTTGCCTCTAACTCTTCATGATCTTCTCAACATCAAGTCCTTGAAGACTTTTTGGTAGATGAAAGGGCACTCACTAAAGTTCGTGGTTTATTGTAGCTAAAATTTTTATATCTTAAAGGCCTTTCAGTTTGATATTTGCTCTTTTAATTCAAACAAAACTTTCATTAACTGGAGCTGAACAAATGAGACCCCATCCAGTTGTTAGATGGAGAGACACAAATACTTCCAAGTAAGCAAGGGTATTTTTTCATCAAAAAACCTGCCAGAATGTTTTCTGGGGTTGGTGCTCATTGACACCCAGGTCCTAAGCATGTATTTATGTCACCGGTGCTTTGAGAGAAATGTCCCTCAGGAATGGGCTGGAAATACCCGTGTCCTGTAGTAGAAGATATTTGATTATGTTTTTTTCAACTTAATATAAAGGCAGAGAAGTGGATGAATATTAATTTTTTTTTAAATTTTCACAGTAAGAGCTGTGTGAAGTTTCTGTGACTATTTACTTTCTTTGACAGTCCCTACTTCGGAGATAGAATTTTAAGATCAACTTAGAGCTCTACACCAGAATCTTCTGAAACATCTACTTACAAAGCTAATCTAGCTATTGGAACTCTTTAGACTTAATTCTGTAGAATCTTTGAGACTTTTGGGGGAAAAAAACATTTCTAGAGTCAAATGTGATTGGTCTAATATTTTGCAATTGTTTTTAGGCAAAGGGGCAGATTTGAGTAAGCCTCCATGTCGGAAAGCAAAGGAAATCCGGAAAGAAAGGAAAAGGTTAAAACTCATGCAGCAGAACCCAGCTGGAGAACTTGAGGGTTTCCACGCTCAAGGTGAACCACCATCTTTGTTGCCACCAAAGGCCAATAAATCCAACCAGCCCAAATCACTTGAAGATTTAATTTTTGAATCTTTACCAGAGAACGCATCACACAAGTTAGAGGTACTTTGAAGGGTGTTTTGTTTTATTTTTTTGTTGTTGTTGGTACCTTGATTATTTTCATTTGAGGTTATACTAAGTTGATATTTTGCTGTTTAAATAATGGGAAATTAAAGTGAATTGAGAGGAGTAGCATTTGTATTTACTAGGTTAACTGCTATTTGACAAAAACCTTTTTTTTTTTTTTTTTTTTTTAAGATTTAAAATAAATACTTCAGGCAGTTTGGCTACTAAAGTTGTGAAGATAATTCCAGTTTTAGCATGTTACTATGTAAGGGACTCTGGCTTTTTGTATCCCTTGATTGAAATTTAGTAGTTAAAGTGACAAAATATACTATTTAAAATTTCACTGTTAGCAGTTTTGGTTAGATTGTGAAGGAGAATAGATCACACCAGGAAATCACTGTTTTATCCATTCTAGTATCCTGATCTTCATTAAGGCAACAAATGGTAGTACATATGCGAGCCAGCAATTAGGAATTAACTAAATAGTACTAAGTTGTACTACTTTAATCCTCTCTCAGTAATTCTCTCAAACCTCTGTAGGCATAGTATGATTACTTTTAGAGTATTCCTATTATTATTTTTTTTTTTTAAAGACTTTATTTATTTATTTGAGACAGAGAGAATGAGAGAGACAGAGAGCACATGAGAGGGGGGAGGGTCAGAGGGAGAAGCAGACTCCCCACCGATCAGGGAGCCCGACGCGGGACTCGATCCCGGGACTCCAGGATCATGACCTGAGCCGAAGGCAGCCGCTCAACCAACTGAGCCACCCAGGCGCCCGAGTATTCCTATTATTTTTTATTTACATCCCAGATTAAATCTACATTCTTCAGTATTTGGTGTTTATACATTTTTTTTCTGAAACATTAATGATAATGATTTTATTATATTCTCATATCTCATTAATAACTGGTCAGCCTTTGAATTTGTAGCTTAATACCATCTAAGGGCTTTGCTAAGGATCTGATATTGAAAATTAACTTTAATGCAATCTAAACCTTAGGATCATATATATTATCAGACATAAGTCTTAACAACTTTGACTATTGTAATTCCTTAACTGCTCTGATTTTGGTATTGACTTTCTTCTTCTCAAATTGTAAAGAGAATTGAACATACTACTTAAAGTATGTAATAGCAGTTCTGCAGTAGGCAGCTTTTACTTTTTTTTTTTTTAAGATTTTATTTATTTATTTGACAGAGAGACAGAGAGAGAGCACAAGTAGGCAGAGTGACAGGCAGATGGAGAGGGAGAAACAGGCTCTCCGCTAAGCAGGGAACCGGATGTGGGGCTCGATCCCAAGACCCCAAGATCATGACCTGAGCCGAAAGCAGCCGCTTAACGGACTGAGCCACCAGGCGCCCCAGCAGCTTTTACTTTTTTAACATAATGATACCTTGGATGGGCAGAGACTTTTTGTCCACCGTATATTACTCTTTCTTTGCAGAAGAATTGCTTCTTATGGCACATGTGAAAATTTTCCAGTTAGCGCTTTTATTATACTGCATTCGATTTTCTGTTTTACTCTTCTGTTTTGCTAACACATTTTAACTGGTTAGTGAATAATCAATGTTAAAATAAATGTTCACCATTACTGTGCAGTTACTGTTAACTCATCCTTATTTTATTTGTGAGGAAACTAAGGCACAGAGAGGTAAATTTATTTGCTTGACCAAGATGGTGACATTGAAAATTTGAGTAAAAGAAATCTAACTTTAGGGTCTTCATTCTTAACTATGCCATGAAATAGGAATACTTTGTGAGGGTTGTCTTTCACACTTACAAAAACAAAATCTGTAAGTTTAGAGTTAGGAGTGATGCATGAAGAGTGTCTAGAAAGTATATTCACATTTTTAGTTTTTCTGAATGATTTACTGAAGGTGAGTTGCATACAACTAGAATTCAAGAGTATTTATTTGTGTTTGTGTCTTGAGTGCCAGAAGTATCCTGCCATTTTACAATAGAGTCAGTCTTCCATAATTCAGTCATAGATCTTAGTCTTAAGAGTTTAGACAGGATCCTCTGCCTTTTCAATGAGTCTGTAAGTTGGAGAAATAACTTTTTAAAAAAATTTACTATCTTGTTAATTTTTAATGTTAAAATATTATCGTATGTTTATGCTTTAATATTTGTATGGAAACTTTTGGTTCTTTTTGGGTGGGAGTAACTGTTAATGCATATTCTGTGGAATAAATAAATTAATTAACGAACATTGTTTTTTAACTCCTTCTGAAGGTGAGGGTGGTGAGATCATCTCCACCAAGTTCTCAGTTCAAAGCCACATTTCAGGAGTCTTACCAGGTCTATAAACGTTACCAGATGGTTATTCACAAGGATCCACCTGATAAACCAACTGTGAGCCAGGTCAGCAGGCCAAGTGTAATTTTTCTGTGCAAATGGAACTTCCCCCTCCATTTGATACCATTGTATTATAACTTGATTTATTTGTGGTACATTTTATTTATATTCAATTTGCAGCATATCTGCAAAATGATAGGAATGTGGAGTAACGGACATTCTGAAAGTGCAGATTTTACCTAGGACACGTTAAGTGCCAGTCACGTGTAACTGCAAAGTGGAAAGTAACACGTAAAATGAATTATCTTTAAAGTCGCTATGTCTGGATGTATTTATCTAAAAATTAATAATAGAACTCTAAGATAAAATATTGATGAGGAAAAAAGCAAAAAAGGCTTTATATTTTTATGATAGGCATACTTTGCACAACATGGTTAATAGGCTTTATCTCCATTTAAAAGTCATGTATAGACAGAGTTCATGACAGCTAAATTATACACAACTGAGTGGGACTAGAAAAGTAAGATAGTAGAATTTTTTTAAAGATAATAGAGTATTTTAATAGAAGTTCTCATATGCTTGTAATTTTGTAAATCAGAATATCCAAGAAAAATGTGGAAGGGGAAAAATCTTAAAACAATACTAGTAGAGGGGACAAAAGTAGTGACCACTACCATGAGCAATAGTGTTGACTCTGTGCATAGAACCACAATAGGTGGAAAGGGTAAAAAACAAAAGAAAAATAAATTGTCCTGGCCCTTAGGAGTTAAAAATTCTCCTAAGTGTTAGTATAAAGTTATAGAGCTTTAGGCTCTGGGCCAGTCAGCACGTTCCAGGGTTTATTTATTTCATGAAAAACTCCAGCGCTGAGCTTTGGAAGTGGATTTGCGGAGATCTTACTCTAGCCTCACCTTCAGAAGCACATCAGTAGGTAGAGATGTTTCAATAGCATTTGCTTGTATTTTCCTTGCTCTGAAGGTGAGGTTAGTACCTGTCTCCTTTGAGGACCCAGAGTTCAAGTCGTCCTTCAGCCAGTCATTTTCTTTATATGTCAAGTATCAAATGGCCATCCACCAGGATCCGCCTGATGAATGTGGGAAGACTGAGGTACCTTTTGTGAAACGTTTTTTCCTATCTCGATGAGGTTGTCTATGAAGAAGCATAATATAGAACTTTCTTTTGCTCTTTCCTTATTTGTTAAGTAAAGCTGATGATCCTTTTCAGTGTATGTTACTAAACTTTTGTGAAAACAAGGCCTACATGTGAGCATTTAAGTCCCTCAGAAAAAAGGATAGGTTTGTATTCAGGGTTCTCAGAACCTGTGTAGTGTGTGTACGTGTTCAGTCATCAGGCTGAGTCAGCAAACACCACTGACTGCTGCTTATGTGCCAGACCAGACCATGGGCCACGGCACAAAGGGAAGAATCTCTGCCTCTGAGGAGTTGATAATCAAATGGGAGAAATGGACCAGTGAACAAGCATACCTTAACAAGAAGGCGGTGGAAAAGAATTAAATATGTTGAGATTATATAGACTATCACTTAACAAGCATTTACTGAGGGCTTATATTTTCCAGGCTGGAGAGATCTAGATGAATGAGAGATTGCGTAGTTGTCACAGGAGGGATATATTAGAAGAAAGATGCCAACAGATGCAGAAGACTTAAAATTTGGATTTGTTTGTTTGTTTTAATGACACAGACCGTGTTAGATTAAAAGAGAGTAAGACAAGAGTTAATGCTGTATGTTCCCTGAGAGAGGGCTGACTTTCAGGTTTCCCAGAACCTTACTGGGTCAAGTGTGGTCTGCAGACCAACAGCATCCACCTGGGATGCAGAATCTAGGGTCCCACTTCAGCCCTGCTGAATCCAAATCTGCATTTTGAATTAGGTCTCTGGGCAATTTGAATGCCCATTCTGGTTTGGGAAGTGCTTCCATAAGTTCCCCATTGAGCCATGCAGCTGTGGATGATAGTGTTTACAAAATAGTAAGGAGTTTGCCAGATGCAAAAACCTCCCTTTGATATTCTCAGGGGGTCTTACTCCTGAACATTACTCCTTCCTGTTACCCTGGAGATTTTGGCTTTGTGCTGCCTGCCTACTAGGTATGAATGGTTGGGCCATGACACCAGGCCATGATCTGATGTGTTTACTGGGTAAAGATTACTTTCCTGGAACTTCACCCACTTAGGCTTCAGGCCTCCATGGAGTCCAGTCCTGCAGACTAGTCCATTGCTAATGGTGTTCACAGCCTGATTGTGGCAACAGAGGGGCAGGCAGTTCCAATGCCATTAGGGTTAGCTATTGGATTAGTAAGTAGGGGAAGTCAGCTTAGTATGGGACTGCAGGTTAAGGAGGTTTTCCGAAGGAGGTGACTTCTGAGCCAAGTCTTAAAGGATAAGTAAATGTTTGTCAGGCCAAAGGGGAAAAGGGCATTCTTGGCAACAGGACTATATGTAAGAAGTATAAAATGCCACCTATGGAATATTCTTGCTGAAGAAACTGAACCTGAATTCTAAGCTTCTAGATGGAATAACTGGTTCACAAAAAATATGAGGGATAAAGGATTATTTAAAATGATACCTGGGCACTTCTGTAAGACAAATCTATAATAAACAGTGTTTTTTAAAAAAAGGAGGGAAATCTCTAGATTAAAAGTTATAAACTTTAAAAAATACATAACTACAGTACCATAATCATGCCCAGCAAGCTTAACAATAATTATGTCATCTCATGCCTAGTACATGTTAGATTTTCTTTAGTTGTCTCAAAAATGTCTTTTTTTTAAATGTCTTTTTATAGTTGGTTTGTTTGGATCGGGATTCTTGTAAGATCTATACATCCCATTTGGTTGAACATCTTTTAATTTAAAATAAATTTCCCTCTTGTTTTTAATAGCATTTTTAAAAGAAACTGGGTCGTTTATCTTAGAATTAATTTTGCTTCTAATGATACTTTTTGAAAATGTAAGCACATATACATGTGGTATCTGTGTGTGTGCTTTTGTGTGATCTCTCTGTATATATGGTGTGCGTGTGTGTATGTGTATCTCTGTTTGTGCATGTTTTACAACATACCAGTACATACACATATACATGCACATGTTTCCCTTTCTTTATTATACAGACATACTATACTTGGAGGTCACACAAGAACAATATATAGAGATCTTCATTTTCTAGCTGCTGAGTACTTGCATGGTTTCTTCATTCTGACCTTTACTGGTGGCTATTTGGCGATTTCTAGTCTTTTACCCTTTCATAGTGTTGCAGTGAGTACCCTTGTACATAGAATTGTTTGTATTTTTGTCACTGTGTCTTTGTGATAAGCTTCCAGATTGCTGGGTCAATTCCTCTCCAGAGGGATTCCTCTTCACAGGGGTTGTACCCTTTTGTAGCCAGCAGTCTATGTGAATGCTTATCCCTCCATGGCCTTGGTCACTGAGATTTTATAAGAATTGTGAGTTTTTGCCATATACATGCAAATGAAATTTATGTCATTTTAATTTTCATTCCTTTTATTATAAATGAAATTGAGCGTGTTTTCTTATGTTTAAAATCCATTTGAATTTTATCTTATGTGAACCATGTGGTCATAGTTTTGCTTGTTTTCCTAGGAGTACTTTTTTTCTTCCATTTCTTAGAAACTGTTTATATATTAAGGACCTAAGCCCTTGGGATAAAAGTTGCAGATATTCCTCTTTAGTTTGTCATTTATCTTTTTACTTTGCTTATGGTGTTTTGCAGTGCCAAAGTTGATTATTATGCCATCAAATAATCAAGGGGCCAGAATTTGCAGACCTTAAGGTCTTGGACTTTAACCTTAATAGTAATAAAGAATGATTGAAGGATTTTAGATAGTGGAGCTGGAGAATTCCATTTAGTTGTTAAGAAATGTGTTAGGACTTGAGAGGCAACAGAAAGCAAAGTTGAATTGATTTTTTTAAAGAAAGGATTTATTTGCGTATATAACAAAGAAGTTTTGGCTTCATTAGATCTCAGGAAAATACCATTAGTGCTTCTTGCTTGTGGTCTCCCAGCTTGCTTTCTTTGTAAGGATTGAATCTGACTCAGGCACATGGTGGCAGAGATGAATACTGCCAGTTTAAGGTACGTTATTCTCACAGCGAGTGATCTCAGCAAAAAATAATGTGCACTTCTTTTCTTATTTCAGTAAGAAGTCCCAAGGAAGGTACTGACTGGCCCAACTTGAGATACATTCTTATCCCTGAACCAGTCACTGTGACTGGAGGATGGAGAACTCTGGTCATGTTTGGATCACATGCCTCACCCAAGAGCTTAGGTGGAGGAAGGTGCTTATTTGAACCACATGTTTTAAGAGGAGTAGATGAGTGGTTCCCACAATAATGTTGGCCAGGTTTTATTTAAAAGTGGTGAGACTTGAGGCAGAGCCAGTGAGGTATGATGGCCTTGAAGTCATACTGGTAGGAAGAGGATGGTGAGGGTACAGCAGACACTTTGGAGGTAGAGTTGATGAGGATTTGGTGTTTGACTTGAAGGATGTTTGGGAGTTGGAAATGGAGGAGAAGGACGAATCCAGATTGATTTTTCGTTTCTGGCTTGCATGACTGGGTAGATGATGGTGACCTTATCTGAGATAAGAAATACAAGAGGAAGAAGAATTTGTGCATTTTGGGACAGAAAATGAGTTCTGTGTCGGCTAGGTTGAGTTTGAGAAGCCTGTGGGATAACTAACTGTGGGAAGATACTAATCAGAAACCAGCATCTGGAACTTAGCATCTGGAGAGGCTCCAGGGTGGTGGTCTGTATTCAGACTTAAGGTATGAATGAGGCTTCCCCTCCCTGCGACCATGGGGCTTGAACTCACAATTCTGAGATCAAGACCTGAGCTGAGATGAAGAGTTGGATGCTTAACTGACTGAGCCACCCAGGTACCCTGATTGAGGCTTTTTAGAAAAGGCTTTGTATTCTTCTGTCTGTGTGCTAGGTTATGTTTTCTCAATTTTGTTATATATTATGGGACAACTCTAATGTTTGGTGTAAATGATGCATATTGTAGGGTAGTAATCCATACTATAAAAGTGGTA